CTCAAGCTGCGGGAGGTGCCGGGTGATGGGTGAGAGCCGCGCCGGGTCTTCGCGGCACCCCAGGGACCGGTGTTTTGTAGACCTCCTGTCCGCAGAGGCTGAGGGCTCTTTCCTCCCTTGGCTCAGCGTGTGACCCCGGGGGCTGAAGGGTTTCCTCTCGGGGTTGTGCGGGGCCAGTGTTCCGCAGGGATGAGGCCTTTCCCCCTGTACCCCACAGGGGTCAGAGGGCTCTGCTCTGTGGCTGGGCAGGGCCTGTGTCACCGTGGGCTGAGGGCTCTGCTCGTCCCAGACCTGATCCATATGGGGGCTGAGGGTTACGCTGGCCTGCAGAGTGGTCGGAAGGTCCATAAGTACTATGAGAATGAGGCATTAGATGTGTCTGCTGAGACATCGCTTGGTAGATCATTGGATTGTCCGTTGTTGCGTTACGGCATCTTAGTGACGGTTTGGCTCAGTGCTGTAACCGCTCTCAGCTTGCTCTGCTGGAGCCAATGGCATGTTAGAATCATAGAATCATAGAATGGTTAGGCTTGGAAGGGACCTTAAAATCATCTAGTTCCAACCCCCTGCCATGGGCAGGGACACCTTGCACTAGACCAGGTTGCTCAAAGCCTCATCCAGCCTGGCCTTGAAGACATCCAGGGATGGGGCATCCACAACATCTCTGGGCAACCTGTTCCAGTGCTTCACCACCCTCTCTGTGAAGAATTTCTTCCTGATATCTAATCTAAACCTCCCTGTTTTCAATTTGTCCCCATTCCCCCTTGTCCTGTCACTACAGGCCCTTGTAAAAAGTCCTCTCCCAGCACCCTTGTAGCCCCTTCAGATACCGGAAGGCTGCAATGAGGTCTCCTTGGAGCCTCCTCTTCTCCAGGCTGAACAAGCCCAACTCTTGCAGCCTTTCATCACAGCAGAGGTGCTCCAGCCCTCTGACCATCTTCGTGGCCCTCCTCTGGACTCGGTCCAAGTGGTCAATATCCTTCTGATATTCTTGGTCCACAAGAACCCCCAATATGTTCATATGTTCACGTTCACTCAGAATCTTACGTTCCTACCTGCATTTCTAACTTCAGCAGCTGTTCAGAGCACAGGGATAGCGACTGCTTCACATTCATATCCTTGTTGAACTTACTGGGCAGAAAGAGCACGGTGCTTTTCCCTTCCTGTTAACTCCATATTCTTTCCGCTATGCCAGGATCATGGATTTAATGGTGTATATCTGCTTTCGGTAGCAATTGTTTGTTTCGGGCCCTCGGTGACCAGCTTGAGGGGCACTCGCGGAACCACCTCAGACATCGTGAGGAGACAGTGGCTTACATGATAAAGCAGCGGGAGGATTTTGAGCCCTTTGTGGAGGATGATGTGCCCTTTGAGAAACACGGTATGGTCTCCATAGGACACTAATGGAAGGGCTTATCATGTAATGTGATTACGTCTCATTTGAGCACCATCTTACTAAACTGTTCCTCATCCCAGAACTATGTCGGAGTTTGTCTCTGGTTTTTAGAAACAGTTAGTTTGCATTTCCCTCTGTTGTGTTTCTGTAGAAAGATGAACTATTAAACTTGTATTTTTAAACAATTTCTAAGACAAATAATTTAGGGGAAACTTGGAAAGAGAGGCAAAAAAGGCAAGGAATAAAAATTTGGCATTTTCAAACAGAATTCACAAGAATTGTCTAGCTCTCCTTGAATACTGGTGGGTGTTGAGTGGGTTTCTTTTTCTCCTTGATATTTCATACTCGTAATCCATGGGAAGGGCCAAAGCAGCGACCAATGCAGCCTTTGTTCTCACAGCTTCAGGGATGTGCCGAAGTACCACGCAGGTGATGAAAACAGTTCGGCCATTTAGTACATGGCACTCTTCTTTCCGAGCTGACGCAGAGCTGACAGCCTTGCGTATAATCTAGGGGCGTACCTCGGTTTTGGAGGTTTCTGTGGTCGTTTAAGATGCATTAACTTCTGTTACTGCCAAATTCTTGCCTCAGCAGTCACTGTTTCACAGTTGAGATTTCCTTTCCAGAATTTCTTGGGCTTGTGTTGAAATATTGTGACTCACTATCCCTCCAGTGCTTTTGGAAGTGTCAGAAACTAGGCTTCCAACTCTTCTGAATGGGGTTTTTTTTTTCCCTTTAGTTACCAACTTGGCAAAGCCTGGTACCTTTGCTGGCAACGATGCTATTGTGGCCTTCGCAAGGAACAATCAAATCAACGTGGTTATTCATCAACTTAATGCTCCGCTGTGGCAGGTGAGAAACAAAACTTGTATATTTTGGCCTAATTCTTGGCCTAACCTAATCTGATGAGTACTAATAGTGTTGAAACTTCCCGATCTATTGAAAGAGGGCAGTAGGTAGCTGTAGTTAGCTGGATATGGTGTGGATCTTTGCTCACTGTTTTGGCCTTGAAGGAAAACACCCCAGATTGCAGCCAGGAGGAGGAGGAATGAAAGAAAACAATGACTGCATGGAAGATAAATATGTGGAGACAGCAGCGTGTTTTAGTTTGGTTGTAAGGTACTAGCTTCATTGATAAGTTTCTCTCTTCTGAAGATCAGACTGTGTATGAGGTGAGTTTTCTGATAGAAATTTGAGCCAGGCTTAAGGAAGCCTGTATGGTAAAGTTCAGGAATATGTAAGAGAAGGTACAGCAGGGCAGTCCCTGCAGTGTGTTGGAATGAAGCCCCATCAGTTCTGCAGGGGATTTGGAATGAGAAGGTTTCTGACGGTTGGAGAAATGAGGTTTTGGACTGGGCAGAAGGAGGAAGAAGTTGTAAAACCTTAAGGTGGTGTTTAATCAGCTTCTGGAAAGGACTCTGTGTGTAATGGTTTCCTCTGACAGCGGGGCACTGGAACAAGTAACCCGTCAGGTCCCTCCTGCTCTTCTTTGTTGTTTCTCTGTGCCAAGTCATGCTGGAATGGGTCCATGCTTGATCCCTGCCTGTTCCTTCAGCAAGTGAGAACCTGTATTGAAGTCAGGGTTGTTTCTGGCCCCAATTCACAGTCAGAACAAATGAAGTATGTAGATGAAACGGGGCAATAAAGATAAAAGACCAGGTGAAAGCTGTCAGTGGTGTCTTAAATACATCTGAAACATTGTCAGGTGAATTCCTGAACCCAAACAAGTTTAAACTCTGCTTTGTGTGGCAGCCATGGGTGGTAAGACAACTAACCTACATATTTTTTAAAAAATCAGCCTACCTGGCAATTATGCAAATGAACGGGAATACTCAACTGCCTGACCTGTGAGAATGTAGGGAGGTAGTGACCCTGCAGCAGAGTTCACGGGGGTGCTGTTCATGTTTTGTTACTGTTCTGAACCGGATACTTGCCTCAGTGCACTTAACTCTTATCAATATTTTGTATAACCTCTGGAAAACCTTCACTGACCTTTCCAGGGTTGTAAATACAGAGTTTGTGATGAGGTTCTCTTTTGCCTGAGTGTGGTCGTCCTACTGAAAGGTTGTCTTAGGCTCTTGAGAGTGGCATAAGCAGAGGCCTGCTAGTAGCTGTAACATAAGGAGTCTCCCACCAGCACAGAGGATACATCAGGGCATCAGATAATGTAGGGGATCACAGTGTGATGACAATGTTAGCAAGTTGCTAGATTTAACTAACCCAGCACACCCTTTTTCTTAATTTGCTATACATCTACATACTTTTTTTTGGCCCTCTTTCTGTTTTGGAGCCTAATTTTAGCTTAAAGTCCAAAGAGAGCATTTCCAGGGATGCAGATTAGAAAGATGCTTAAAGCAGATGGTGCAAATATCTCCTTTGGTCCAAACTCTAAAGCAGCTGGTGAGTTACCCAGTAATTGTAAGAGAACCATTTGTATACACTGTGGCTGAGCTGGAAAAATGTCAGGGGAAGTTCTGAGGACCTCCAGCTGTTCCTCAAGCTCTGCCTTTTTGGAGGTGAGCATCTCTGCATGGAGATTTAGGGCTTTAAACACTCTTGCCTGTTTCAATAGTGACTGCAACTGTAGAGCTTCAAGTTAGCTCAGATGTATAGGTTATTTTATTGGCTTTTTGGATAACTGCTTACCTCTTTTCATTGTTTGTGCCTTTTTTTATTGGCAGCTCTCTTTTGCTTACAGTTCCAGTGCATTGTGGAAAGAGCACCCAGAAAGAGGCTTCACTATTGAGAGCTAAACTGGCTAATTTTCAGAAAAATCTTTCAAGAACCTTGGGATTTGTTAGATACCTATTTAGTCTCTGGCAGAGGAGAAATGTTGAAAATAAATCTTAGGCAGACCCAACATGTTGAATAACTTAATAGGATAAAAGGCAGGAGTTAAGTGTAACAAAGTGTTGAGTTGGAACTTAAAGGTGAAGAGGTGTAAAGTGGATGAATGGAGCATATCTGTGGTGAGATCTGAAGTCATTAGTGCCACGCAAACTGCAGACGTGGTTGAAAGGTGACCTGGGGTGTGTGTTCGGTAAGTTGGGATGAGCTGATTCAGAGACGTAAAAGGATTGGGAAATTCTGCAGGTGTTTCTTGTCTTTTGGGTACAGACATCTCCAGGAAAGCTGTCAGATCTTTGAACTCTGACTTGACAGGTAAGCAAAGGAGGCCTGCAAATGCAGTCTCACTTTGTGCATTCCTTGCAGGAGCTGGAGTGCCGTGTAGCTTTTAGCTCATAGTTTGAAGCACTGATGATCAGGGCAGGAATTATTCTTCTGTCAGTAGTGAGAGTACTCAGGGTGGGAATTTTCTACAGGTGCTTTTGTACTTGGTGCTCATTTGCAATTTATTTGTTTTATTTAGATTCGGGGCACAGACAAAAACAACGCGAGGGAACTTCATATTGCGTATCGGTACGGAGAGCACTACGACAGCGTGAGGAGAATCAATGATGATTCTGAAGCTCCGGCGTATCTTCGGATGGAGGTTGGTTATGACAGAATGATGTGAGTCAGCTGTGGGCGATAAATAAAATAGATGAAGGTTACCAGTTTATTTCCTTCCTCCTTTGCATTGAGATTGAGAAAAGAGTGTGGTCCCTGTGTCATGCCAGAGATAGAGACGCCCCTAAGGTCATTGTGACTAGTGCTGTCTGCTCTCTGGAGACAGGCTGTGAAGTGCTTAAATTACCACAATGAAAATTAATCCCAAATCTGATGCTGTGATGCCTTGAAGCAACCCTGTCTGAAATAGAAACTCTTGCACCTCAAAGGCAAAAACAAAGGGAAGGGAGCAAAGAGATGGAAATGCAACAGCTGGATACAGCAGTCCTCATCATATCTCGCTCTTTTTCCTGTTAGGGACTAAGCTGTGTTGTTCTTGAGGTGCTCTGCACACACTTGTGTAATGTGTGGGACTGTAAAAATAAATTGATCCTTCATTTGAAAAGCCAGTGACTTATTGATGTGCACAGTCCTGTAGCATGGGAGGGTTGGCTCAGTAGTGTGACAGTCGTGGGAGGGGGTGTCTGTGACGATGATAGTCACACAACTTCCAAGATGCTTTGACATGGGAGATTTTGGAGGAAGTATGCCATAATAATGCAATTTCTTATGATGTCATATACTTTCATGCATATACTGCATATGTTGAAGTTTCTGCGTGTGCTTGTGTGATCTGCTGGGCTTTGCTTCTCTTGCAGATGCTTAGCAAGAATGATTCGAACAAGGAGGAGGAAGGGAAGCCTCAGAAGGGTGACTCTGAAGGTGAGGCTGAAGTGGAAACAGAAGATGCTATACGAAAAGTGTGTAATGCGACTGGATGCTCAGTAAGTACTGAGTAGCCTTTTTACACTTAAATGTTCAAACCTTCTTGATACTGAAAGTAGTCGTGGGAAAAATTCTAAAAAGTATTCTTGTTGGACAATTTCAGTACCACAGCCACAAGTCAGGGTGGGTTTCATCCTGGACTCAACCCTTAAATGCAGATGAAATACGTGCTCTGTGGATACCTAATGATTTTTGAAGGTTTGTCTTGCAAGCTCTCAGAAAATTTACTTTGAAACTACTTCTGTAAACTTGGAAATCCTTTGAGGGTGCCTGTTGTTGGACATCCCAAGCCACTGTGAGTCTTTGCTGTTGTCACTGGATAGCCTAGGTGGTTCTTGCAGATTGGTGCTCGCACTCTGCAAACGCATAGAACAGGAAGGGTCAGGAGTGAAACAGGATGAACCAGGATCTTCCTTTTTCCTGATATCTTTAGGATTTTAAGGTTGTCTCCCTCACCTTTTTCAGAAATGGAATGCAGGCTAATTGGAAGGTCATAAAAGCAGACAGCAACCCCCATCTGAGCTGTGCAGACACTTGTTAAATGAACATATGTCAGTGATTTGAACTCAGTTCAGTGTTACCTTTCTCCTCTTGCGGACAGGACGTTGATTTGGTAAGCCACATTCGAGAAGTGGAAGACTACAGTGTAGAATCTGCAATATTTGCCATCTTTCAAGTGAATAAAGTGGAAAGAATCGGTAAGTATGCGGAGTTTGTCACCTGGTGCTTCAGAAGAATGCTTTCTGGTGTTAGTGTTCGCTGGAAACAGCAGCTCAGCAGGGACCTGAACATGAGCCGGCCGTGTGTGCTGGCAGCCCGGAAGGCCAGCTGTATCCTGGGCTGCATCAGAAGTGTGGCCAGCAGGTCAAGGGAGGTGATTCTGCCCCTCTACTCTGCTCTGGTGAGACCCCACCTGGAGTACTGCCTCCAGCTCTGGAGCCCTCAATATCAGAAGGATATTGACCACTTGGAGCGAGTCCAGAGGAGGCCACAGAGATTCCTAGAGGGCTGGAGCCCCTCTGCTATGGGGACAGGCTGAGAGAGTTGGGCTTGTTCAACTGGGAAAAGGGAAGGCCCCGAAGAGACCTCATTGCAGCCTTCCAGTGCCTGAAGGGGCTACAAGGAAGCTGGGGCGGACTTTTTACAAGGGCCTGTAGTGACAGGACAAGGAGGAACGGGTTTAAATTGAAAGTGGGGAGGTTTAGATTGGATGTCAGGAAGAAATTCTTCCCAGAGACGGTGGTGAGGCACTGGGACAGGTTGCCCAGAGAAGCTGTGGATGCCCCATCCCTGGAAGTGTCCAAGTCCAGGCTGGATGAGGCTTGGAGCAACCTGGTCTAGTGCAAGGTGTCCCTGCCCATGGAAGGGGGTTGGAACTGGATGATCTTTAAGGTCTCTTCCAACCCAAACCATTCTGTGATTCTATGACCATAGTGGTTGCAGCTTAGTGTCGGCTGTGCGGCCGTGTCAGCCTTTCGCTGCTCAGGAAGGTTATTAGTGAGGGCACACTAATCCAGCTTCCAAAACAAACCCGCTTTTCCGGAAAGTCTGAAAGAAGAGGGTGGCTGACATGGAGACAGCTCCTGGGTAGAGCGTGTCTGAGAAACATCTCTTTTTCGGTAGGTGCTGAGGAGCAGTGTGATCCCCAGAGCAAAGATCAGAATCTGTGCAGCAGAACCCTGCGGGAGGAAAATGGAACTGGTTCAAGAGTCTTTGGAAATCGGCGTTCAAGAGTCTTTGGAAATCCTTTGCATCAGGATGAAATAGAAAACAACACAGGCCAGGCTAGATCCGGTGAAGAGAATCGAGCTAGCAGAAACCCAAAGGTACATGAGGGGTGGTTTGGCAGTGATTTACACGTCCTTTAACCATCAGGGGAATGTTTAGGATTGCTTAATCAGCAACTGTCTTCTCCTTTGAATTAAGAAGAGCTTCCGCTTACCGGATTTTGTTGTGGCTACAGCTGTGACTTCTCCAGTGCAAACATTTATTAGTGACATGTGGCACTCGTCCAAAGTGACACTATAAGCAGTTTGGAGTAAGCATTCTCTGGCATCTGCTTTGGTATCTGCTCATCTCCTTTTTGGTGTTTTATTTTTCCCCGGCTGTGCAGAAGACGTGCGTTTTCAACTTTGTGTTTTCATCCTTCCCTTTCAGATATCTAAAAAACAAACGAAGCAGCAGCAGCGGCTGGAGAAGAAGAAGCGGCAGGAAGAAAGGCATCGGCAAAAGGTCTTGGCCAACAGGAGTAACTGCACAGATAGCAGCGGAGAGACAGACTCAAACAACCATGTCACCTTGGTGAAGGCCATGGCAGCTCTAAACATATGACCCGATGTGTTCCGAGTGCTCGGTGAGAAAAGCAAATAAAGCTGAAGACAAAACTCCTCTTAAGCAAATTTCCGAGCACCCACTGTTATCTCAAAATCTGTTTCTGCAGAGATATCTAAGCACACATGAGCTTCCTGCTTCTCCGGTGGTGGGGCGAATGATTTTTCGGGGATTCTGCATCAGCCTGTGTGTGAGAAGAGTTGTTTGAACTTTACAGAAAATTAGAGACCTGTTTTGATGATTTTGGAGTTAGGTAAAGGTGAGAACCTTTTCTTCACACCGCAGTGTCAGATTTGCTTTGAGATTCCTTGATGCGCTTAGTCTTTGTTTTGTTGGTGGTGTTTTGGTTTTTTTTATATAGCAACTTTTTACTTAGTTATGCTTGGAGGAGGTTTATGTTACCTTGCTGTCAGGGAAGGCTTGACAGTTCTCTACTCAGGAACATGGCAGGGTTCCTATTTAAATTCAGATAAAGTAATGGAAAAGAATCACAGACTCCTTCCCAAAGCTGAGTGTGTCAGCCATCACTCTATCAAACGCGACATTCCTCTCCTTTCCCATGCAAGAATGCAGTGTTGGGTTTTAATCCAGCTGGAACTCCTTGCGTTGCACCGGGCTGTTCCAGAAGTGATAAATGCATGGAGTGAGGATGGGATTGCTGTGCCCATGCTTGCTTCTTGCTGAAGCTTGAGATCAGCTTGTTTGCTGACCCTTAGAGGGAAACACCCAACCCAACCCAGTGGACTCCTGAGGCTGCAGGAGCCAGTTCGTCCGATCTGGTGAAATCTGATGAGGTGGTAAACGCGACATGAGCAGGCAGGAGATTTCTGGTGAGTGTTGTCACTTGGACGTCTGGAATCTCCTCTCCTTTGCTGCACTCTGGAGCTTTTGGGCTACTCCAAAGCTTTACTCCAAGCCAGGAACTTGATAGTTGTTAGTCTCCAAATGAAATCAGTATAGCCAAAGGATCAAGAGTCCTGGGAACAAGCTCCCAAGTAGCGGTGATCACTGGGAACCCTGCCGACTTCACTCTTCATAAATCAGGCTTTTTTCATCTTGAATTCCTCTTCAGAAAGGTCACTAAGTACCACAGAATGTACGGTCAGAATCCTGTGATGCTTTCTGCTACAGGGCTGGGAATTGGAACAGAAAGGTAGGGAAGGTGTCCCTGCTCACTGCAGGGGTGTTGGACTGGGTGACCTTTAAGGGTCGCTTCAAACCCAAGCCGTTCTGTGACTCTGGGACTTAGGTGTTTGGACTTGTATCAAGTGCTAAGCTTGAAGAAAGCATGTTACACACAGAGTAGATAACAGCCTCATCAGCCAGGGTTTTTTGAAAGGAAGGAATGTTGCTTTTGAAAAAAATCTATGCCTTCTGTGACATTCCCAGATCAGTACAGAAATGGAAATGCCTTTTTTGATGGAACTGCCAAGGTCTGAGCTACTACTTCATATGCCCTGCTACTGTTTATCAAGAGCATTTGAAGACTAAAAAGAAAGGAGCTTTACTTTGGGTACTGGTGGTGTAGGAGAACAGGCTTTAATGCTAGTGAGGAAGTTGCTTTGGTTTCTGTAGTGAGCTTGGTGGAAATAAGCAGCTCTTACACCTTATGGTGGGACATAGTGTCTGCCAAGTGGAGCAGCATATGAAGTGCTGCTCTGAGTGCTGGTGGTAGGCATGAGTAACTGTTGTAGAGGGAAGTCTGAGTAGTATTCTGCAGGAAGGAAGAGCACGGATGAGCCTTGTATTCACAGTGCTATTCCTAAAATGAAAAACTACTTTGGTAAAAATCCATTTTATGCCAATCTTGTAGGTATTCTGTAGCAATATTACTTCCTGGAATTCTTTTCCCCAAAAACAGTCACTTTTGCAGTAGCAAAAAGAATGACAAGTCATAGTTGAACGGGGAGAAAGTTCAGGTCAGTTCATTGGTGTGATGAGTTGAAGACAGTGGGCACAGCAAGGCGGCTCAGGGATGTGTCACCTTCGTCTTCCCCAACTGCATTTGGACTTGAAAGGTGGGTGGGTTCTGCTGAAACAAAGAAATTTGCCTCAACAGCACAGTTTCATACTGTTAAGCAGGGATTCTTTATTGCAGCGCTGGGGATTCTCCACCATAAGCGCTCTGCTAGCTTGGCACAACCACACCACTTATATGTCCATACACACTACATATTCATTAGTCTTCAGAAATCATTTACGTAGTAACACCTTTTCCTGAGATAATGTAATTATGATTACATCAGCTTTTTCTTGATTATCCCATGGTCTTTACGGCCATCTATTGTGCTTTTGATGGTAAAACAGTTACTTCTGGTGGTTGTGCGATGGTTGGGTGAGGAAGTAAGGAGTCTTTGTTACTTGCCCATATGCTTCCAGAGATAAATGCTTTATCAAGATTCCAAGTGATTTAGAAGTACCAAGGTTGCAACACTTGCATATTTAGCTATCGTCTCCTGAACATCTGCTAGACCTTGGTTTGATGCTGTCTAATCATCCTGTTTCTAAACAATGTGATATTGATTCAGGTTAATCCTAAGAGTCAGAAGGCCTGGGAGGAATTTCACAACTCAGCATACAAAATTCAGCAGTTTCCCTTCACTGCAGGTTTTAAAAGATAATAAGAATTTGCAGTTTTACGCTACAAATAAGATATTTGATCTTAATACATTGCGCTTTTTTTTGTCTTCCTGAGCCAGGGCTGATAGGAGGAGTATTGTTGCTTCAAGCCTGGAGAGCTGTGAAAGGAGTTCTGTAGCCAGCAGGCAGGAAGCTGAGCTCCTGTAGGTCAAAGGGACCTGCAGAACCTAACTTCCTCTGTGCCCAGCATAAACAGGGAGGCCAGGGGCAGCAACACATCTTCAGTAGCAGAGGGAGGCTCGCCTTCAGCTCATGGACACTGATACGTGACTGAAAACGTATTACACTTAGAAATGAAAGCGATTAAAACAAACTCGGCACGTGCTGGGCTCTGAATTCTTGTTAGACCACTCAAAATCTCTTTAGTTTTGCCAGGATAGCTTTGTGCCTGTGCAAACATTTGGTATCCAAAGCTGTTAAAACCTTCATTTTGTCTGTTTTAGCTTTTTCCACCTGCCCTTACAAGGGGTATTTTTCTGCAGGCTTCTTCAGGGAACTGGCTTTTACGTGGAGACTTAGCTTTGTAAACAGGTCGTGGATCTTCCTTGCAGGAGGAAGGGAGGCGAGAAACAAGAGAACCCTCATGATTCATAGCTCATGTTTACTCTTTGGTGGAGCTAACAGCGCTTCATAACATGCGGTCACAGGACAACAAGCACTGCGCGTTCCCTTGGTATCTGGGGAGGATTCCTGTTTGTTGCTAGCTGCTAGCTTACATCTTCGAGGGTCACAAGTGGGCAGAGGGCCAGGAGTGTGCTTTGGTCAGTCAGGACCGTGTAGAAAGCTGCTTTCCCTTCGTCCTACCTACCGCCACCCTCTCCCCCAAGCTTATTTTTGCCCAAATCCTGCTCCTGCAGGTAAGGAGTTCAGCTGAACTGGAAGTTTTAAGCGTTCAGCCAGTTTTTGTCTGTTGTGCACAGGACAATGGAGAGGAAGGCTTTTCTGCTTGTGCTGCTCAGTTGCTGGGGGCCCTTGTTCCTGCTTGGAGAGCTGCCTTCTGGGTTATTTGACAACAGCTTCCCCTCATCTGCAGTTCCTGAAGGACACACATCCCATCACCTGGGGTACCCACATCTGCAGAGCTCTTGGATCCTTTTTCTGTTGACGTCTGTGGAAACTACTGCAGGGTTTTCTTCTCCTGTCCCCCTGTGGACACTCAGCAGGGCACCCACTTCTCTTCCCAAGCCAAACCTCTGGTTTTGGATTTTGAGTGCAATAAAGGTGGCAAAGATGTGCCAGCTGAACTGTGCGAGTGGAGTTGTGTCTGTGGGGCATGCTGTGGGTTAAAGGCCAAACTTGCCACTTAATGTAATGACTTGGCATAAGCTGAGCCCTTCCCGGGGATTGAGAATCGGCTGCTGGGGGTGTACATTCACCTGCCACCTTCCACCAGCTTCGTAAACTTGGCTGAAAGTGAGGGAACTCAGGTCAGGTCATTCTTCATGTTAGTGTTCTAGCGTCGTAAAAAATTTATACGCGTGTGGAGCTGCATGATCATTCCTTGCTGCTGCTGGGAGCAGAGCCGGTTTGCAGGCACAAACAGCTCCCTCCCAGTGCTCTCCTCTCATCCCAAAGCTGTTGAGCAGCCAGAAAATGAGTGAAAGGAGAAGGAAATGAATGTTTTAGATGATCTTTAAGGTCCCTTCCAACCCAAACCATTCTATGATTCTATGTTTTGGAGTTCTGAAGTCACTGCAGTTACTGTAGGAAGGGATAGGGATGTTGCTCCAGATGAAACACTTAATGGAGTCAGGCAGGAGCCCCCCCACTGAAGTGAAACTCAAAGGAAATACCCTTAAAGCACGTTTATGTTAGGACCCCCGGCTTGGAGGGTGTGCGGAACGTGTCTGCGGAGCCAGCATTAAACCCAGATGTGCTTCCGTGGAGGCCTCGGCTCGTTGGGACTAATTGCAGGAGGAGGTGGCCTGAAGAGACCTGGGAGGATCTGCTGAACACTGAGTGCAGGAAAGAGCCACCCCGAAACCCCTGAGAGTTGCTTAAATAGTGGTTAGGAGCGAGATGGGGCTGTGCCGAGTGCCCTGAGGGGAGCCTGGTGTGGGGTCAGGGCACAGCAGCTGCTCGCTGCTCGTGTCGTTCCTTGTTTTTTCCTCCAAAGCTCTTAAGATTTAACGGTTGGCTGCAAAAATGTCACTTCTGCTAAAGGTTTGTTAAGAAAAAGATGCAAACCGGTGTGTGTGCATGAATATTTATTTCAGAAAAAGCAGTGAGGCTCCGCGCTCTTTCCTACCCCTTCCACCACCGATTCCTGAGACACAAAGACGACACAGGATGTGCTTTACCCATTGCCTTTGAAAATTTATTTTTCCTTGCAGGGAATCTCCCACTTTTATGATTTATTT